CTTTGTGGGCCCAGCAGACAGTGCCATACAGGCTCCGCCGCAGCTGCCACGTGCCGCTAGCTCTCATGTGGCTGCCATGCGCCACCAGCTCTGTGCTTCGACTGCTGGCCACCTCCCTGCTCGCCATCCCCTGGCCCCAGGCCCCACACAGCACTAGGGACAGCTATGTATACAAGTTTGAAAGGACTTTATGGAAGAGGAGTTGAGTGAGCACTATAAATTTTTCTAAATATATTTTGTCAAAAACTTTAACAACACAGCAGTTTATGAGAGATGGCCTTTCACACCTCTTACTTTATATTGCTTTTTTATCATTTGATGTAATATTTTAACCTTTCCAATTTTTTTAAAGGTTAGAATTAAAATGCACAGAGCATATTCCCTTAATTTAAATGACATTTTTTTCTAGGGTAGTAACTTCTGATACTTCGCTAACTATTCCATCCTTTAAATGCCACAGAATTTTCCTCCCACTAGAGTAAAGCATAACCCTTTTCCTGTTACAGTTCTGTTTCATACTCTTGTAAATTGAAATGCTATATTAGACTTAGGCTCCTCTTGAGCAGGAAACGACATTTTGAATTTGTCTTTAATGTATAGTTTGACTAACAATTTGGTCAGTACTGAATATAAATTAATATTGTTTCAGAAGTTTTAGCACAAGAAATCTATTTGAGCTCATTAAAGGCTTAAGTTAGGAGTTTCTGGGTGCAGAGAATCAGAATTTGTTTATATTTTTATAAAAGAAAATAATTTGTTGGCAATCTCTTTAGAAGTTGGAAACGCCAGAAAGAAGGTTACCAGTACAATGGTAATTTATGAACTCTGTGCATGATATAGACTTATTTCTCCACAAGATTGCTGTTTGCATGGGGGGTGTAGTTCATACTTGAGAAATGAATAACTTGGTGCAGTTCATAAAGCTGTTATTCACAGCATTACTGTCTCCTTTGCAGAAATTGGAAAATGTAGTGAACAAGGCAGGGGGCCTGTGGGTTGGGAGCTTTGTGGTTCAGGCATTAAAACCCAGATATCTGCAATAACATTTAGTCTGACTGGCACACATTTTGTGTGATGCTGGTGAGTCACTTTTAAACTTTTCACAGGTGGCCACTAACTCACTCATTTTTCTTTATGTCCACCTTAATACCCCGGAGTCTTATTTGCATAGGTATTGAGTTTTTACAACTGTAAAGCCTGAGAACTCTGCTTTGAACAAATGACATGCTATAAAATACTACATTCTCAGAAAATTCCAGCCAAATTAAGATTGGCTTGTGTTAAGATGAATTTATTTCATATTGGTGAAGCATGCATGCTGCAGTGAGGAGTCCATAAAGAAGCCTATTGTGTATCCAGAGCATGGTTTACTTAAACAAGGCTTAAAGCCACACACTTTATTTACATTGAGGGTAGAATAAATATGAGGGTGTTTAGAAATTAACAGCAATTTCAAAACAAAAATTTGTGTGCAGTGATCATTTATTGGACCATATAGTTTCTTTACCTAGTCACCCTGACTTTTGCAATGCAAGTATTCCTGCAAGTGACAAGTTCCTTGGTGCTGTCCTCAAAGAAGCTTTTTGGTTGCTGCAACAGGCACTCTTGCAGTGTGATTGTTTAGAATTTGCATTGACTGGGCTTTGAAAACTTGCTACATGTATCCTGTAGTCCTGCTCTGCACCATGTGATTGTCACCTGCTTGGACAGTTGAAAGAGGCTCTTTGTGGATACAGACTTGCCAGTGATGCAGAGGTACAATTTGCGGTGCAGCAGTGGCTGTTGCAGCAACTAAAAAGCTGCTTTTGAGGATGGTACCAAGAAAGTTGTGACTCGCAGGAATACATGTTGCAGAGCGAGGTGACTGTATAGAGAAAATTATTGCTTTATTTTGAAATTACTATTAGTCTCTGAAACACTTGCATATTGAATCGTTGTTCATTTAGTGGTCCTTCTCCAAGACATGTAATGAGGCAAAGGTCCTGGAAACAAGCTAGTATATGATCATGTTAAGTAGATTATCAAAGTCTATACAGAAGGGGATTTAAATTTACAGTCAATCTTAACTTCTTGTGCTTTTCAAGTTCTGAGTGTTTTAACTTTGACCGTGAGATTCTAACTTTTTGGATGTAACAGATACCTTTTAATAGCTAATATTCCATATCTAAGTAGCATGATTGAAAAATGTGAACCCTTACTAAACTGATCAGATTAGTCGGAACAGATTATCTCCAGAGGAGTAAATACAGTTGGTGGTATTTGTGCCATTCAACATGAGACTGCTGGGTCTCTAAAAATTATTTCAGTGGGATTGCTTTCAGTGTTGCAGTTATAAGGGCATCCAATCAACCTCAGGTGCTGTACAGATGGCAAAGCCAGGCTAATATAGAAAAATGAGAAACAAGTGACTATTTAATATACAAGAATGCATGATCTGCATCACAAATAGTCAGTGGTATTGCATCCAGGAAACCCAACCAGATGGCTATATATTAAAACATATCACTCCTTGCAAGAATTAAGTACAGGCAGTTTGCTCATATTTTGTGCAGACATGCTGCATATCACATTAGAATAGAATGAACAGGAGATTAAATGCTTTATTTATTGGCAACATTTAGGTGAAGTTGGCAGTTAGTTAGTTATAATCTTTTTTCCATATGTATTTAAATGGCATATTTTACAAACAACAGGGGTCTTGGGTTTTTAAATACGGGAGAGAGATCATAATTTAACACACTGCTTAGTATTGGTGTAGTAGAAACAGAACTATGTTGTGTCAAATTGAGGATAGATGTTAAGGCACAAGTGATAGATTTGTACGTGAATAGTACACTGGTCAAGAGACTTTCTTTGCTTGTCTTCAGTAATTTGTTTTTAATGTAAATTGATAATTAGCAGACTCTTATCTATGGAATATGTTGTTTTCTGTGTTTTAGCTTGCTGAAAGAGGCTACTGTACAGGTCATGAACCTGATTCCATGGAATTCAGTTCCTTAGGAGGATGGGTGGCTACACGAGCATCAGGCATGAAAAAGAACATTTATGGAAACATTGAAGATCTGGTATGTTGCTAGTTGGTGTTCGTGTGTAGGAAGGTGCTTTGTTAAATAGCTTCCTTAGCCAGTTAAGTCTCCAGTCAACTAAATTTTTGCTCCTGTAAATTATTCGTATGTGACAGACAAGTGGTGGTAGTGCTCCCCCAATTGCAGCAATCCCATCATAGTCTCCTGTGACCAGGACAAATTGAATGTTTGGAACTTGTCCAACAGCCAATATCAGATAGCCACCCAAAGCAGTGATCAATGACAGCAGCAAAAGTGAGCCTCCATATTACACCTCCTTGTCCTGGACTGTAGGTGCGAAGACCACATTTTTTTTTCAGCTACAAAGTAACCTGATCTGTGTGGCATGTAGAAGATAAAGCTATATGTAAGCAGAGGTGAAAGGGTCAATGACGTTGCAAGTGAACCTAGACAAGCGGATAAATTATGATGCCAATCTCAAGTTGATTGTCCTAAATTAGACAGAACAACAGTTTCCATGCAGTTGAGAAAAGTGTTTTAGGTAGAAAGAAGTTTATGACTAATGGAAAATGAAAACCAGATTAACTGTGTATAAATACAGGGCATTTCAAGAGCCAAAAAGGTAGAAGATATTCACAAAACTGAATTATTCAGGAAAAAAATAAAGGATTTCTAGTCACAAGGGAAGTGATGCAGTTGCAGGTATTGGAACTTGTACATGAATTTAAAACATGTCAAGGAAAGAATAGAAAGGGGAGTCTGAATAGATGTCTGTAGGTCATGAAAACAACTGGTCTTGTTTTGAGAGGAGCCATCAACCTTGCTCAACATGTGCACAACTAACATGAAAAGTTGATAGTTTATCAGTGATCTGTAATTAGCCATAAAGGTCACAAATACATTATTGGGGAAAGTTTAAAATGAAAATGAAACAGTGGTCTACTTGGACATGCTGACTAGTATTACTGTGAACACAAAGGACTGTCAAGTTGGTCCTTGTGAACTGTGGGGGATGATTAAATGAGAATCACAGTAGTTATTGTCGCTTTAACAGATGGCACAAAACTACCTCCTTCCTTTTGCACTCAAAATAATCTTCCTAAGAAATTTTCAAAAGTAATATTTGTGTTCTGTCTGGAGAAAGTTGGGTGATTGAAGAATTGATGACAAGGATTTTTTTGTGTTATCTTTTGTTTGAGCAACCATAGACTTGGGAGAAATGTTAGATGAGCTTTTGGCCACAGAAGTTGATCTAAAATTATTTCCTGGACCAACACTCCAACCTTACAACAATGTGAAAAGATGATGAAAGATTGGCTAGCAAGTGTTGAAACAATGAGGGACTGAAAAACATAAACACGGATTCAGCCATCCATTCTGAGTGGCATGACCTCCCATTTTAAGCACTGGATGTCCTCTAAGGGCCCCTCCAGGCATTCAGGTAAAGGTACAAGGGATCTGATGTGTGGTCCAAACACATCAGACCATCTTGTTGGTGCAGGGGAACCTGGAATTGTGATCTCAAGCTCCCCCTGCACTAGCAAGAAGCAAGTTCCTATAGCTGGGAGCCTCCTCAGCCGCATCACCACAGCTGAGAATCCCACTGTTGCATATGCCCAAGTTTGGGGATGCATGGTGTGCTCCCATGGCTAAGAACCCTGATCAGCTGATGGGCTTCCAGCAACAGGGGTGCACCTGGGCACATGTTCAGTTACTGCAATGATTAGAACCAGCCACAAAGTTGTTACTTTTTCTTTGTGGGGTAACTTTGTGGCTTATTCCTCATTTTATCACACTATTAATTGTTCAAACATATGGCCAGGTCACAATTTAAAACATGATTAACTGGAAAGAAGGACGATCCAGGGAACTACAGACTGGTCAGCCTTACCTCGGTTCCTGAAAAAATCATGGAGCAGGTCTTCAAGAAATCCATTTTTCTAAGCACCTGAAGGAGAAGGTGATTAGGAAGTCAGCATAGATTCACTAAAGTCATGCCTGACCAACCTGATTGCCTTCAATGACAAGATGACTGGCTCTGTGGATTTAGGAGGAGCAATGGATGTGATATACCTTGACTTTAACAAGGCTTTTGATAGTCTCCCACAGCATTCTTGGAAGCAAGCTAAAGAAGTACAGGTTTGATAAATGGACTATAAGGTAGATAAAAATCTGGCTGGGTTATTTGACTTGAAGGGTAGTCATTAATGGCTCCAAGTCTAACTAGAAGCTGGTATCAAGTGGAGTGTTCCTGGAGGTCAGTCCTGGGGCTGGTTTTGTTCAATAACTTCATCAGCAATCTAGGAGATGGGATGGAGTGCACCCTCAGCAAGCTTGCAGATGACCCCAAGGTGGGGGGGAGTAGTAGGTACGCTGGAGGGTAGGGCTAGATCATGATTGATTACTTGCCACTGTCAGAGAGACCTAAAAAAATTGGGAGGACTGAACCAAAAGAAATCTCACATTCAGTAAGGACAAGTGCAAAATCCTGCACTTAAGAGAGCAGTCCCATGCACTGGTACAGGCTGGGGATGGATTGGCTAAGCAGCAGCTCTGCAGAAAAGGACCTGGGGGTTACAGTGGACAATAAGCTGAATATGAGCCAACAGTGTGCCCTTGCAGTGAAGAAGGCTAAAGGCATACTGAGTTGCATTAGTCAGTACGTTGCCAGCAGATTGAGGGGAAATAAACACTTCCCTCTGTTTGGCACTGGTGAAGCCACAAATGTGTCCAGTTTTGGACCCCCCACTACAGAAGGGATGTGGACAGATTGGAGAGAGTCCAGTGGAGCAGCAGTAAAAATAGGGGGCTGGAGCACGTGACTTCTGAGGAGAGGGTGAGGGAACTGGGCTTATTTAGTCTGGGAAGAGAAGATTGAAGGGGGATCTAATAGCAGCCTTCAACTACCTGAAGGGTGGTTCCAAAGAGGACGGAGCTAAACTGTTCTCTGTGGTGGCAGATGACAGAACGAGGAGCAGTGGTCTCAGGTTGCCACAAGTGAAGTTTAAGTTGGATATAAGGAAAAACTTTCTCAGTAGGGGGGTAGTAAAGCACTGGAATAGGTTACCCAGAGAGGTGGTGGAATCTCCATCCTTGAAGGTTTTTAAGACCCACCTAGACAAAGCCTTGGCTAGGATTATATTGTTGGGGACTGCTTTGAGCAGGGGGTTCGATTAGATGACCTGAGGTCCCTTCCAACTCTAATTTTCTATAATCCTGTGGTTACGTGCTAAATTTTAGCTGAATGCATCTTTCTTTAGGAGGAAAACAACTCTCAACCATAATTTAAAACATTCACTAAATTCAGTTGTATTTTATGTTTGTGTATGTTATTTAAATGCTATTACCTACAAAAGATTCAAAAATGAGAATAGTAGTCAGTGTAGTATTGATGATTCTTGATTCATCCCATATAAATCAATTGGCGAATGTAGTTTAATCCTTTTATTGCCCAGAATAACGGATTAAACACAATATTGTTGTTATAACCTTGAAAGAAATTTCATTTAGAGCTTATTGTTAAACTTTTGCACGATAAGTTCTTTTGCTTTTCTAGAACAGCTTGCTTTATTCTGTTAATTAAGTTCTGTTACATAAGCTGCCTAAGACACAATCCATTTAGGCTTGGGGCAGAAGTTACACATAAACTGGTTTAAGTGATCGGAACTGGCTTAAACCTGTAGCAGAGCAGAAGTTCAGTGCACATAAACCAGTTTCAAAATGGCTGAAACTGGGTTAAGATAAACATGGTTGAATGTAGTATCAGACTTAGCTGATTTGGATCAAACTAGTTTATGAAACTTCTGTCTCAGTCTTCTTCCTGGTTTAAGTTAAATCAGAGTCCCCCAGGATCCCAGCATGCTTTTGAGCTCTGGGCTGAGATGTGTTCTCTGCTACAGAGAGCAGGGCTGGCTCACTGGCTGGGGCTCAGGCAAACCTCTGTTGGGGTCTGTGGCCAGGGAGGAGGGTTAAACTCACCTTCCCCCAAGTACAGAGCTGCCCTGCCCTGCCCCGCCCTGCTAAAATGTAGTGCTGGCTACAACTGTGGACTACAAATCCCAGAGGCATGTGGAAGGAGGAAGAAGTGATGAGCAGCCCTGCAGAGTCCTGCTATTGTGACTGTGGACTGCAAATCCCAGAGACCTTGGGGGCAGCAGGAAGAGGAAGCAAACACACAACCCATGCTATGTTTATAGCTCTTCAGTTTATAGTTCTTCACAGAGAGAACTATTCTTGTTTAAGCTGTTGTGAATTTAGTGCCATTTCTTTCCCCTCCCCACAGGCAGAGCAGGGCTTTTTCTCTTCCCTTCTCTTTGGCAGTGGCTGGCAGGTGTGCTCTATT